TTTTCCTTATCAAATGTAGTATTATTCTCGAGCGTCGCAGTGTTGTCTTCAAGTGTCGTAGTCTCATTTGAAAATAGCATTACACCTTTTATAGTTTCACCCAATTGTTGCATTTGTTGGATAGAAGCAAGTACTTGGTTGGATGCACACGTTAATTGGAATTGTGTAGCCAATTGTTATGTGAATGTCATGTGTCTATCGGGCTGCATAAACTCTTATGCATACGTCAATTGTTATTGTTGTGGGTTACGAATTGAATGTTGTGGTATATGTGAAGCACTGTAAATCTTATTTTGATTGAGTTGATTACCATATTGTACAACTTCTCCATGTGACATAATATTTGTATGGCGTTTCTTAATCTTGACATACACTGTCGGAACACTCCTCTGTTCTAGCAGAATTAATGCAACATCCTCATTGTCGTTGATAATTAGGCGTGATAGCTCTCTGGGTGTACTGATCAATGCATGTAACTTAATTTCATGAATTTCTGAGTTTACACTAACTACATCTTCAATCCTCATTGTCCTTTATCAAGCTTGCAAATGACAAATCACTCATAACCTCCCGTATTCTTGACTCACCACCCTTGTAAATGTCATCCACCCACTAACCACCATATCTTATCACAAGTTGTAGAATTGGAACCCCACTAAAATTTTGAAAACAAAAAATTTGTTAGTCATTTTACACATTACATGCAGCGTTTTAAAATTTATCTGTCATGTTGTTAAGCATTATGTTCAAAAAATGTTACACACAATGTTTAAAAAATGCTACACGCCATGTTTAAAGATGTTACACGCCATGTTCACAACCTGTTACATGTCATGCTCAATAAAAATGTTACACGCCATGTGCTGGCACATGTTATTTCAATATATTTTTTACATGCCATGTGCATTAGAGATGCATGACGTGTAACAACTTTGGGTAATGTTTTTAATCTATGTTATAATTTACACAAAAATTTCAAAAATATGTTGCAATAATAAACCCAATAGCATACCTTGATGTCATCTCTACTCCAGGGTCTGTTTATCGACAATGATATGGGCAGATGCTGAGAGACAGACCACAACACGATGACGATGGTCCTCAATAGAAAGTTAACAGAGCTAATACAATTAAGAGAGCTAAAAAAGAGAGTTGAGCAAGCTAAAATAGCTAAGCATTTATTTTTATTTTCTCTATGACGGGAGGAAGATATGAGGAGATTAATTTATCAAGATGTTTTTAAGAGTATTTTGGTCTACTCATGTTTGTTTTTAAGTAAAAACAGATAATTTTATATGGCTGACTATTTCTGAAATCACCTTATGAGGAGGGTCATTTCTCACAATTTTCTCTTTCAAAAATCATTACAAGTCTTTTTCTTTTCTTTTTTTTTCTTAATATCTTTAAAAAATTAAATCATTTTAAAAAATTTAAATAAATTTTTAACTTGGTATTACTTGAATCAAGTTTTTATACAAATATTATATGGTTTTTTTATTTCTTTAATTAAAAAAATGAACTTATGTTGATTTCTTTTGTGACTTTTTTATTACTTTCTTACTTTTATTTGTTTGTGGATCACCATTCTTGGTACTATCTCACATTTTTCACTTCCAAAACTCCTATGTGCATCTAATCATCGTAATAGGTATAAACATTGCAATCTATTTCTTTCAAATTTTAATTTAATTCTACTTTTTTAAGTAAATATTTCCTAAAAATTAACCTTATTTTATTATTTATTACTTTTTTTTTCTTGTCCATAATCTTGTTCTATCTATATTTTTTTTATAAGAACTCTCCCCTGTCCTATGTGACAATGTATCAATGCTCTATGTTTGCTCTCATGGGTTAGCCCTAATTTAGGTTTGGTTTTATCCATTTCTGAGATCTTTTATTTTACCCAAAGTAGAAACTCTTTTGAAATTAAGGTGTCAAGTATTTATTATTTTATCTCATAGTGAAACGGTGTTGTTGACAAAATACAAAGAGTATCGTATTGTTAATTTTGAGTGGCTCGATTGATTCTTCCTTCCAAAAGTTGGTGTTTGGCCAGGGCTAGTTTTTGGGTTTGATCTATTTTTGTTACTGTAATTATCTAATCCCCATTTCTCCTCTAAAAATACCTTTGAGATCAGTTGGGATAGAAGTGCACAATCGTAGATGGAAAGTGCAATATTTTTTTGAAGTAATAAAATAAACTCAAAAAACACTCAATTTTTATTTTAAATTAATTAAATAAAAATATATATATGAGACAGTTTAATCAATACTATATGATGGCGTTTTGGTACTTTATAATGCAATGTGATTGCAAGTAATGTGATTGCAGGGAAAATAACATTACAATATTTGGTATACAAGCAAAATAATGATTAAAATGCAAAGAAAACAACATTGCAGCGTTTAGTTTATAAGTACTTTACTAGAAATGTAATGTTAATTTTCAAAATTACTCCTATTTATTAAAATACAAGTTTAACATATTTATATTTTTTATTGTTAATTTTTATATAATATCATCTCTTAAATATATTTTTAATATCATATATTTTATTTTCATTTCTTATTATAATCTTATATATTTTATTTTTATTTTTTTAATCCAATTTTTTATATTATATATTTTATTTTAATTTCTCTTACCTATATTATATAAATTTTAATATCTTATATTTTATTTTATTTTAATTTTTAATTCTTATATTATATATTTTATTTTAATATTTTTTATTTTAATTATAACATTGCAAAATGTTTTTAATAAGGTAATAAAGTTGAAGGGTAAAAATGTTTTTAAGAATATTACAGAATGTAATGTAATGTGATAGCATTGGTTTTAAACTGCAATCATATTACATCCTTTGGTTGTAATGTAATTACATTGTAATCTTACATTACAGTGATCTGTTATAAAACAAACACTACAATGTAATTTAATTAGACACATTGTAAAAAATGTGCTCCCACTTCCCTTATACCAAACGCTATCTATATATGTGTGTTTGTAAATCATCTGAAACATAGAAGTGATTGTTATATACAATTTAGAATTAAGATGTGATTATTTGAAACAATAGAAATACATAATTTTTTTTAAACTAATAAAAAATCAAATAAACACTATTTTTTTCTTGAATTAAGTAAATAAAAAGTGAAAAGATTATAAAAAATATGTTTATTGTCTTTTTACATAAAAATAAATTGAAAATTTAAATCGAAGTAAAACATAAAATTTTATGTAAGAAAAAAATAACTTTAAAGTGTTATATGAAAAAATATCATAACACAAAAAGAGTCTATGTGAGGTTTGTTTTTCAAAAAATGATAAAAAATTTATTTAATTTTAAAAAATAATTTCAATTTTTTTAAAAATATTATACTTTTTTTATGGGTTGGATTGAATGGAAACTCATGAAAGTTTGACTATTATTAACACAACAAAATACGGAAATTGAAAATTCATTTGTTTTTTTTTTATATTTTTCATTTTGATTTCAGTCCAAGAAATAAAAATATAGTCTTAATGCTTACAATTTTTTTACCTTAGGAAAACCGAAATATTGGCCAAACCCAAGCCGCTTTTCTCCCTATTATTGTCTGATTGAAGCGTTCGTTTTCGCTTTGTTGTTTTACGACATTATTAGACAAGATAGAGAAGCAAACAGCAGCTGAAAACTATCAGTTGCCCTGCACTGTACGGCACTTGGATTCTCAATTCTCAAATTTATGGGGCCAATAGCTACTTATTTGGAGTGTTAGGTCTGCGGTGTGTCTGTACGCGAAACCAACATGTCAAGTTTGTTTGTTTGATCTAAAATATTTTTTAAAAAATTGTTTCAAAATTTATGTTTGTTAGATGAAAAGTTTATTTTAAATATAAAATAGTTTACCAGTCAATTGAAAGTATTCTGCGCTGATATTTTCATAAAATAAAAAAATTTTATACTAAATTTAAGAATATTAATTTGATAAATATTAATATTTAATTTAATTTTTTAATTTAAATATTAATATTTAAATTATTCAATAACATTAAAATTAAAAAATATTTTTTAATAAAATCATTCAATGTAATTAAATTTTTTATTTATAAATTGAATAAATCTTACAAATAATTATAATAAAAAATATTTCAATAATCGTTATTTGATGAATACATATAAGCATATATATTAAATATTTTACAAAATTAATTAATATTAATATTTTTATAGTAAATATATATAAATATAAATTTTAGATGTCTTACTCAATTGATAAATATTGATATTTTTATAGTGTTATGATAAAAAAGTGATAAGATATAGATTTTTTCAATATTAAAGCTTACTTTAATTATAAATAATATTGTATAAGAGTTAAAATATTGTATTGCTCTATTCCTTTAATTATATAAACATAAGAGATGCCAAGTCCACAGATTTAGAGCGAAAGACTAAAAAGACTAAACTCATGTTTAGAGCAGAAGAACAAAAAACTAAACTCACATTTAGAAGTTTTAAAAGTCAACTAATTCACATGTCAATCAACTAGAGTTACACAACATAAGACTATGTCACCCCACTTGATGCAAAGATACGGTAAGGCTTCTTTTTATTTATAATAATAGATACTTAGTTAAATATTGTGAGAAATATTATTATTAATTTTACCTATTTTCATTTTTATTATTTATTTTGATCTCAAATTAATAAAAACCAAATGACACTACTTTATAATCAATTTCCATTTATCATCTTAACATTTAAATAAATCTACTAGTAATGTAAAACATATTTCCATAAATCCAATAAAAATATTTTTAATAATTCATTTAAATAATAAAAATATTAAAATTTATAAAATAGTTTATGTTAAAATTTTTTTAATAAATTATTTTTCAATTCCCAAATAACTTATAGTAGGCCTGACCAGCATAGGACTCTAATTAAAAATATCTAAAACAGGCCAAACTTTCATTAAAAAATATAAAGCAGGAAAGTCAGGGCTGCATTGGTAGCCAACCACAGGGCAAAGGGCAACCTGCAAAAACATTTTTTTATTCCTAGTCTTTTACATTTCCCCCGCATTATTCCCCACCAAACTCCCCCTTCACCAAACCCCTCTCTTCGCCTTTCTGTTCTAGTGTCTGTGCTCTCTCTTAAAACCCCCTTGCATCGTAGATCGGACCAACCTCTCCGAATCCAACGGTCGAGATGGCTCTATCGCACCTGGCCACTTCTTCCTCCCGCTCCGCTGCTCTTCTCAGACCCCTCTCATCTTCCATCTCCCTTCGCCGCCCGATCTCCACCGACACCACTCCCATAACCGTCGAAACCTCCGTCCCTTTCACCTCTCACCAGTGCGAAGCCCCCTCACGTTCCGTTGAGACCAATCCGAAGGAACTCCTCACTTTCTTCCGAGACATGGCGCTGATGCGGCGGATGGAGATCGCAGCCGACTCACTCTACAAGGCCAAACTCATCCGTGGTTTCTGCCACCTCTACGACGGCCAAGAAGCTGTCGCTGTCGGCATGGAAGCTGCCATAACCAAGAAGGACTGCATCATAACCGCCTACCGTGACCACTGCACGTTCGTCGGTCGCGGTGGGACCCTGTTGGAGGTTTTCTCAGAGCTGATGGGACGCCAGGCTGGATGTTCTAGGGGCAAAGGAGGTTCGATGCACTTTTACAAGAAGGATTCGAATTTTTATGGTGGACACGGGATTGTTGGAGCTCAGGTCCCGTTAGGATGTGGCTTGGCGTTTGCGCAAAAGTACTCTAAAGACGAAAATGTGACCTTTGCTTTGTATGGTGACGGGGCTGCTAATCAAGGGCAGTTGTTCGAGGCTTTGAATATCTCTGCGCTTTGGGATCTGCCTGCAATTTTGGTCTGCGAGAATAATCACTGTAAGGAATTTGAATTGAAATGGAATTTTATTGGTTTATAAACTTCAGTATTTTTAGGATTGTTTTATTTATATGATATAACTGTACAGATGGTATGGGGACGGCAGAGTGGAGAGCTGCGAAGAGTCCTGCGTATTACAAACGTGGGGATTATGTTCCTGGTTTGAAGGTGAGAATTAGTTGGTTTGTTTGAGATAATAATGGCTTTATTGAGTTTTAATTTATTGTTCCTTTGGAAATGTTATTATGATTTTAGCATTATTGAATTTAGGATTTAGATGTTACCGGTATTTGAAGTGACTATGATCAGTAGTGTCTTAATACTGAATGCTGAAAAACTGTGATGGTTGCCATTTTGAGCTGCAAAGAACTGCTTCTTCTGCTGATCTAAAATGAATATTGATGGTTTTGTTATCATTATCCTTTTACATTAGAACTTAACTGATTGATTGAAGTTTTAAAATGCAGAATCTCAAGTGGTTTGTATACTTTTGGTTTCTTAATATGTAACTTTGTTTGCTTCTAAGGTTTAGGGGTTTGATGCAAAAAGAATAAGAAATAGTGTTCTAGTAGATCTATAAAGTGAAATCCTTTTGTTCCAAAACTATAGAGATATAGTTTTTGAAATACTTAATATTAAGCTGTTACATGTCTGCATTTGAGAAAATATATGTTTAAATTCCTTTTGCCTGATGATAGACAATAATGTACCTTTTTACCATAGTTTAATTCTGTTTGTCATGTGCTTCATATCTTGTAGGTGGATGGCATGGATGCCCTTGCTGTGAAGCAAGCCTGCAAGTTTGCCAAAGAACATGCCTTGAAGAATGGACCAATTGTAAGTTTATTTATCCAGCTCTTGACTTTATTTTTGTCTTCATTTCTTGTGCTGGCCATTTTTTATATTATTTTGTCCTTACTTAAAAGGTTTTAATTGATTGCTTCTTCAATTTTCTTTGTTACTCTTAACTTTTTGTAAGATCTTGATATTTGTTTAATTTGTTCTATCTTACTTAAGCTCAAAGGTATTAAACAATAAAATTCATTACTGAATAATTAATCACACTCAAAGAATAGTTATTATTATCTGTCTAATTTTGGGAGCACACACATTCTATCCCCCTTTGTACTTGCGTAACCTTCTATTTTAATTCTACGAGTTCTTACCATGGTTGATACACTTGAAGAATAAGTTATTTTTATCTCATCTACAATTTGACTAAGAAGGCACATGATCATTTAGAATACCTTTTTGGATTAACCAATCTTTAGTTCACAACCCTTATTCAAGAAGTTAGGGAATGGAACTCTTTCTTGGAATATTGTTATTTCTCCAAACTGTAAAATTTCGAGTGCTGATAATTTTATCTGGACATATAATGAAACATGAATTTTTGTATCATATCACAAGCCTTAAGATGGGGAAAAGCTAACTCCTTGAGAGTAGAATACTATTAGAATTAAGAATCATTCAATGCAATTGCAATTCTTACTTATAATATGAATAAATATTATTGATATTTGTAATAAAAAAAATCTTTAATGAAAGTCATTTGATGCAATTAGAATTTTTATATATTGACAAATTAAATAAATTTTATTAATATTAATAATAAGAAACAAAAATAAAGAGTAGAAAACAAGAAGGGTGCCAAATGACTATTTAGGTTGGTGCTTTTTTCACGGGGCCATCACTCTTTTTAAAAGGTTAACCTAATAGGGTGTGTTGCGCTCATGCTTATAAGCTTTCCAAGATCCCTTATCGGCTGATGTGGGATTGAAGCACCCTTTTACTTTTTTGAAGTGCTTGGCATGACATTCTCCCCCACCCAATCCGGCGACGCGCTTGTTGCTGTCAGCCACTTTACCTGCCTCTGTTATAGAGGTGCTTACTGTGGATTGGGTCTAAGTCAGGCTTGTATTGATACCACTTTGGTCATGGAGCCATTACCCTCATCCCACAAGATTAACTTGATAGGTGTGCGATGTCCATGTTTACAAGTTTTTTAGGACCCTCGTACGTGGCCGATGTGGGATTGAAGTGCCATGGCTACTTCCTATGAAGTGCGTAGTATGACACTTACATCAAACTAGTATCAGAGTTGCCATTTCAACTAACTTTGTGGCATTTGCAAAGTGAGTTGTACTCGTTATATTTAGTTGCTTTTGTTGTATGATGTAAGCTATTGTTAAATTGTTGTATGATCTAAGCTTTTGTTAATTGTTGGTATGGCTGCAAATGTGTTTTCGATCAAATAAGAGGTTGAGAAGTTCACAAGGAAGAAAGTTTCAATCTATGACACATTAAGTTGTGGACGATGTTGGTCTAGTAGGATTATGTAACGCTTTGGGTGATAGATAAATTGTTAAATACAGCTTAAGAGGATACAAAAGATGATATCTTGGAAAAGGCGCATAATGCCATCTTGCTTAGTCTTGTAGATAAGGTATGACAAGAAGGGTGGTACCTTAGTGCTCAGTCTGTAGCTTCTATTAATGAGGAAGTATATGACAAAAAACTGACAAACTAGCCTTACCTCTAGCAACGACTTTACACTAGACTTGTTTGATTGATCTTTGGTAAAATACTTTTGACCTTCCAAAACATGAAGCATTTTGTTTTTTCTTCACAAAACTCATATTGCCATTAAAAGAAAAGAAAATATAACAAGACATAGCTATTCTTATTTATTAGCAATCGAAGGATAGGAAAAATTGAGAACTTTTCCAACTATTAAGCTGGGTTTATATTTAAAAGGAATAACATAAATAGTCAACTATATCATTATAAATGTCAAAAAAGAGCAAATTAGATAATAGGATAATATGAGTCACAAAAAATTATGAATATAGAAAAAAAAGATGCAGCCAGAAAGGAAGAGCCTAACCCCACTTTTGTCCCAATCTCGTCTTATATCAACACTCTTAAAAATGGATGAGTTGTTAACATTTACTTTGGGCATGGTGTGAAAAGGCAACAAGAAAGAGTTTTAAATAGAGAAAGAAACAGAGAAGATAAAGACAAGAATATGCATCTGGATTCAAAAAGGTAATACAAGCGAAACAAATTGAGAAAAAGAATGGAAGGAAGGATGCGGTGCATACTCAGCTACAGATGAAAAACCCTAATGACTTACATATATATAATTTATATAAAAGTAGGATAGCTGACTGGATCAATTGATTGGCACTTATCATTCTCAATTTGAATTAATTTTTTTACACCTTATGTCAAAACTGCGTTGGCTTTGACATTTGAAGGGTTTTTATTTTGTTTTTTTACTTTTATTTATTTCAATAAAAAAACTTGAAAACAATAATTTTCAACTTTTAATGGTTAGAAGATAGATTCATATAATATTTAGCAATTGTAATTTCATATTTTTTTTGTCTATATTCTCTTATTCTGCATGAACTTGAATCTATGGTATATATATATCTCTTTTATACATGAATGTTTAAATTCCTATAAATATGCATCCAGTTCATTATATAAAAGTAGGATAACTAATTGGGTCAATTGATTGGCATTAGTCATTCTCAATTGAATTATTTTTTTTTTACACCTTCTGTCAAAACTACATTGTTTTTGACATTTGAAGGGTTTTTCTTTTTTTTTTCTTCTATTTATTTCAGTAAAAAATACTTGAAAACAATCATTTCTAACTTTTAATGCTTATAGGATAGATTCATTTAATATTTATCAATTGCAATTTGATATTGTTTTTGGTCTATGTTCTTTTATTTTGTATAAACCTGAATCTAAACTATATAGACATCTCTTTTGGACATGAATGTTTAAATTCCAATAAACATCCGCCCAATTCATTGAACAAAATAAAAAAGTCAAAAAGTTCTATTCATTTCTCAATATACATAGCACACAATTATTATTGAATAAATAAATCGATTGAATTTGATAATCTTTAGGTATTCATTTTATATATAAAAGATAGATAATACTAAAAATTAATAACTATTTTATATTGATAGGATCTTTACAATATACTGTTGTTCTATATTCTGCAACTATTTATCTTAATCTATTAATAGTATAGGTTATATACTCTCTCATTTTTAATAGTTTATTATACATCTGATAATCTTTGATAGAATTATTGTCTTTTTTAGATAAATTCTATTTTAAATAGGATAACTAATTGGGTCAATTGGTTGTCATTCTCAATTGAATTAATTTTTTTTACACCTTAGGTCAAAGCTGCGTTGGTTTTTACATTTGAAAGGTTTTTTTTTTATTTATTTCAGTAAAAAAAAACCAAAAAATAATAATTTCTAATTCTTAATGTTTAGAAGATATATTCATTTAATATTATCAATTAAAATTTAATATTCTTTTTTGGTTATATCCTTTTATTTTGCATGATCCTGAATCTATAGTATTTAGACATCTCTTTTATACATGAATGTTTAAATTCTAATAAATATCTATCCAATTCATTGAACAAAATAAAAAAGTCGAGAAGGTTTACTCATTTCTTAATATACATAGCATACAGTCATTATTGAATAGACAAATCAACTAAATTTGACAACCTCTAGCCATTCATTTTATATATAGACATATTTTTAGAAATTAGTAACTATTTTATATTGATAGGATCTTTACATCATACGGTTGCCTTATATTGTATAACTGTTTATCTTAGTCTGCCAATAGTACATGTTATAT